GGGCATATATTTTCTAATAATATATATGTCTAATTCATCCTCGACCACACCTTGCATATGATCGTCCAGTTGAGACAGTCGAACGTCGTCGAATTATGGTTTTCCATCATCTTAACAAATATTTTATTAAATACATTTTATCCCTCTCGCATTAATTTAATAATTGTTTTGTTACTTACCTAATACCAGATAGAAGAAGTGGTTGTTATCCGATATAAATATGCCCGTACCCTTCGATGCACGGATGATCGATAATTTCGTCGACAATTACTTCACATAGTCCACAGGTATAGACCACTTTTATCTTTAAAAAGAAAAAAAAATCATTTTTACATGATTATAAATAGTTTACAAGAAAAGTGACGTTACTGTCAAAAAAAAAAAAAAAACGACTTTTCCACGAAACACCGAACTACTACACTTTTCTCTAGAGAAAAGTGTAGTAGTTCGGTGTTTCGTAGAAAACGTCCAGTTTGTTTCTACGCCGAAGGTTCCAGTACCCACTCCAGGTTACTATCAAAGTTTATAGAATTTATTCTGTAAACTTTGTTACTATCTTGCAAAAATTCCATGGCGTTAAAATTAAGCTGATATATAGTAAATATTTCTTATTGCTTTTGTTTTTATAATTACTGAATCATCTTAAATATTGTCAAATAAATCGTTAGAAATATTTACCTCATCTAAATCCATTGATTGCACTTATGTATGTATTTATTCCATGAATGACAATGTACAATGTATAAAGACATCAAAAAAAACGTCATCAACTCTGGCTATGAACGAGAGAGATAGAAATAGCGGTCATGTCTAAGCTTTTTCGGTTATGTCAAACTTTTGACAAGTGACTGTCACAATTTGTAAAATCAACAATACCTGTCATATGATGTGACAGTTTTGACGTTTTGAAGTAAATAAGGTTATAAAATTCGAATAAGAATAGAAATACGTCTTTTTTCTTGGCCAACTTTGATGACGTTTTTTTTGGATGTCTCTATAGTTGTTTATATGATAAAGGTTATGTGTCGAATGTATCGATTATTTCTATATCGATGTTTCGACCCGGATTTATTTCATCGCTCCTTTCCCAGCGACAAAATTCAACTTGTTGGAGAAGTTGAACTTTTCCAACTTTGTCGCTGCGATTCTTAAAATGGCGGAAAATTCAAAATCGTACCACGTGACCTCATTTATCGCTGAAAACGAGCGACTAGCTATTGCATGAGGCCGTACATTAATGTGTTCACAAAAAATCATATTTACAGTAGAGATCATAACCCCAGACTTCCTCGCATACCCAACCTTTTTCGTAAGCTTTTATAGCATTGTATTTACAACGTGGATTTACTCCTGGAATAAAATCCCTACGTTTTTTTATCCAGTTTATCTGGGCGATCAATATGCGTTACCTTTAATTATTCGAAAGTAGACCCCTTTATCCGGAAGGGCAAACGCTCACATAAATCTTTCTGGTCGGAAGGTTCGGAAACTCATTTTCTATGAATTATGCAGAGTTTATTTATCTAAAATCTAAAGAACAAAAACAGAGGGGTTCCATAAATTTCTTATCTAAACAGGGCGTAAAGATAACATATGGAAATCAAACAAAAAATATTTATTTACGATCTTTACCGCAGGACGCCTAAAAGAAAGGTAAAATGGTGTCAACCCTGTGACCCTAAAAATGCTTGAAAGTATATAACTTTTATGCAAGTCACAAAAATATACAGAGGATCCGGAAATTGCCACCAAAAAGATCTAACTCGGTACCCTAGAATTAAACTGTACTGAACTGTAGTCAGTCATGAAAATACAAATTTACAGGAGAATGAAATAAAGGAGAAATTGTTGAATATTTGTCCTTTGTTTGGTACTGCCTTATTTTAATTTGTGAAATTTATATGGTGGCCATGAAAATAATTTAGTATAAATTTAATAAAATAGTTATATTTTGCTAAATGCAACAAGTTTTTGTTTTACCGGACTTACACAGTATAAAATGTATTATTACTTAGACATGGACATTTTTAAATATGTTTGCTACTAATTTTTAATTAGTATACATATTAAAAACATGCTTAAACAATACTTTAAGTTAAAAAACTATAATACTGATAAACAAATATTTCTTCCGAGATCTTTCAAAAATTGACATTTTCTGGAGGAAAATGCCAATTTCCAGTATTTTTTGCAGTTACCAAGCAACCATATCTCACAGTATGGGAATATTTTTTCATAGTTTATTCATTCCTAATTTTTTTTTTTATTTTTATTATTCGTATCATATAGCAAAATCTAGAGAACATCAACAACATATTTTGATTGATTGCAAAGCAAGTATAAGGATGTACCTATTTACCTACTCTGCACATAAAACTAGGGCTTATAAACATTTTTGTTAAAGCCTTAAATGCAGAAGGAATGCTTTTCGTTATTTGAGATGGAAATTCGCGCATAAGTGAGGCAAAGCTTAAAGAAGGAATATTCATTGGGCTGCAAAAACTTCCTAAGTAACAAGAAATCGTAGAGAATCCTAGAGAACTACAAAGCTTTATTTGAAGAACTTATCCAATCTTACAAGACGTTAGGTTGCAACATGTCACTTAAGCTGCATTTTTTAACTTCCATTTGGAATTCTTCCTTGACAATTTAGGTGCAATTTCAGACGAGCACGGCAAAAGATTCCACCAGCAAATTGCTCCAAATGGGGAAGCGGCATAGTGGAAAATGGACCCCAAACATAATAACGGACCACTACTGGGCCCTCAAACGTGAAACCGATCCCGGCGAATACAAGCGAAAAAGACAACAAAACCATTTTTTATTGTATTACACTTTTTTCGACACAAAATGAAGTATATATGAAGTATAACAATTTCACTACATATTAAAGTATGAGAGACTGATTTGACAAATAAAAATAGTATTTTTATTAAGATGTTGTCGACTTGTCATTCATTAACTATAACCAACATACAGGGCGTTAAAGTTATTATTTTATTTTTTTTTTCGTGAATAATTTTGTTAGGAACTAACGTTTCTGCTCAAAATTTGGCGATTGTTTTTTTTTTGGGTGAGGAAGTATAAATAATTGTATATAATTTTGATGTAGCTTGTATAAGGCGCTCTCTGTTTGTTTGCTCTGTATTCTGAGTACATAGAAACAAGGGTAACTTTATTATGCATTACAGTTTTTATGTCATTTTAATTATATCAGTTTTCCCAAAAAAGTACCCCTTGTAAATATCGTTCCCAGTGACCGTTTACAAGATATTTGCGTTTATGTGCTAAATGTAACCCATTTAAATCATGATTATAAGATGTAAATACTGCTTTTCGTAGAGCCTTTGAATAAAACAATGCAAAGAGAGCGCTTTCAAACTCCATTTCTGATCAACTTTCTTGTGGTTTTGTCAGAGTTGTGGCTGTTTTAAAGGATTTTGAAGAAACTTAAGTTAAAATAAAGGAAAGTTAAATTAAAAAATCCGCAACTAAAATTGCCCTTTTTATCCACTTTTATCATAATAATACACTTTAATAAGTCCTTTCAGAAAAAAGTAATTATGGTCAGCAATGTTTCTAAACAAATAAATTTAGTTTAGAGTGCTTTTACAAAAATATAAGTCTTGACCCAAGTTCTCATCTTTTGACTCTCATTATATACCATAGGAATAAACTGTTAAGCGGAATTAATAATAAAGTTTCCTTTTTTAAAATTACAACGGGGACTTTACAAGATAATGAAGTGGGAATCAACCTCCGATTTTCAGAGCATACAGTAATTAATGGAACTTTATTACCAACTAAAAGCTTGTCACTAAAACACCTGGCTTATTGACACCGAACTAAAACGTACAAAAAGTGTTAAACGATATTAATCAAACCGTCGCCGCTACCGCTTGGTTCAAAGGTGGCAGGTGGACGTATTTTTTCATCCATTAACGCCATGCAATATGTCGCTCACTCACCACCGTCGGACGACATTATTATAATGTAATAATATTTTAAACACCCCGAACGAGTTGAGCCGAGCAAATCTCGATTATTAACGGGACCGTATTAAGGAGGAGTAGGTAGATGAACGAGATTCAGGATATGAGGATAGTATACAGAAAAAACTCCTACATGCGGACACTCACGGGACCACAGTTTTTGTCCGGTCATGGAAGATGTCCAGATTTTCACTAAAGCATGTCAAAAAATGCAGTTTATTAGTATGTATTAGTATGTATTTATTTAAATATATATGAAAATATTTTATAACAGTACATAAGTGCCTGTATGTATATAAAATAAATAACGTATAATAAATTAATAAAAAATTACACGGGTAAGTTTGAAAAGAATGAATGTGCATATATTTTTATATGCATTTTTTAAGAAATATAGTATTAGTTGTACAGAGTTTTACACTTTACCCGATTTTTAAATGGGACGTGTATCTGCATTATTTTTTCCAAAACGAAAATATATTTTCCTAAATAATACAAATATATTTTTTTCTGAATACAACGATACAAAACTTTGCTGGGTTATATTTAAAGTCGGCTAAACAGCGCGGTGGCCCACAAAGTTTTCACACATCTCAACGTAAATAACAGGGTAAGTTCAATACATCTCTTTATAAATTGCAACAGTTTATTTGTTTTCATGAATTTTGTTTTTACACATACAAAGTAGTAAGTAGTATGACGCATACGATTATGGCCCGCCGCCCGGATCTGCCTGCTTTAGTTATATTTGACTGTTTTTGAGATACATGCACTTTTGACATTACGCAACAATATGGCGCAGAATATCTTCCGTTTAAATATGTACAATAGGCCGGGAAAGATATTGTTTTTAAATAAGGAAAGCATTTGTGATTATGCAAATCCTGTTCAACGAAAATAAATCACACACCACAGAAATGGACATTCTCCCTCTAAGAGTCATTGCGACTGTGCAGAGGGATAAACATGACGTAGGACACACAACCAAACCCTGTGACAGGTGCCAATTGCCACAGGCGGGATTCGAACCCGCGCAGATAATAGCTCTCGGAGTAATCGCCACCTTCTAACCTGGCGCTTTACCCACTGAGCTATCGCCTTGCACAAATATGTGCAAGGAAGAAGAACCGTGGTAATGATAGTGAAAAATCGCGAGCTGGTGACATAAGTTTTACAGCTCTCTGATTAGAATCGTTAAATTTAAAAGAAAAAACCGTACTAAATTACCGGAGAGCTGACAAAAAATGAAAAGTTTTAAATTTCAATGCGTATGAAGCAGGCCTCTGGGAATAATGTAAACACGTTATGGTTACTTACCTCTTTCTACTTGTACCGATAAGTCAACATATAAAAACATATGAAAATAAGAAAACCCGTACTAAATTACCGGAGAGCTGACAAAAAATGAAAAGTTTTAAATTGTATATATTCGTGTAAAAGGCTCTGGGAAGAATGTTAACACATACTCCTTTTTGCTTGGACCGATAAGTCAACATATAATAGCATAACTTAAAAACAATGTAATAAAGTTAATTACAGATAATAAAAAAGTTTTGTGACACAGCGTCCGCAACAACAAAATACAATTTTTTTGTATATAATTAATCTAACCTAATCATCATTGGACGTTATTAACCAGTAATATGTAGTCGTCTTTTTTTAAAATGTAAAAAACACACTTCATTTTTGAGGTAACTTCTTTCTGATCAACATTTTCGGCCTACAATGCGTTCACTTGACTTTAGTAATTGATGAAAATACCCATTTAGATGATTTCCTGCCATACTGCCACAATTGATTAGATAACAACGATCTTTGAAGGGACTTTTAGAACGTGGAAGAAATGTTTCCACATCTATAATATATGTTTTATGATATAAAAAGAGGATCTTTCGATGTCAAAGCAAAGCTTCAGGTCATAAATATTGTAACGAGTGTGAGTATTTTAACGGTTACTACTTTGACCGTGATATGTCGTACAATGTCAAATCCCCATACGAGTAGAGTCCTATTTAGGAGTACTAGAGGGCAGTCCCTATATGTCACCACTTTATTTCCTAGCAAGAAAATAAGTCGACTCTCGGCCACTAATAATGTTGAAATTCGTATCTTCGGTTTCTGTCGACAAATAACAGTGAACAAGAACTTTTCTCATTCCAATTCACAAAAAAATCTGGGCTTTAACGGCCAAGAATAGTTCAGAAAATATTAGTAAATTGCTGAAACACAACGCCACAAGAGTTAATATTAAATGCATTAAGTTATACTCTTATACGAGGTGTGTAAATTAAGGAATGAGACTGGCAACGTAGCGTCCGATCTAGCAACACTACGGAGACGGGACTTTGAAGAGCATTAGGTTAACGTGTAATGCACATTCAGTACAAGTGTGAACTTGTTAGAGTCATTTGTTTGTTCTTTGTGATTGTTTTCGTAAATCGGGTGTTTTTAGTGTGTTTTAAAAATGAGTGACATTAATTGTGACTAAAGGTGTGCTATCAGTTTTTGCTTGAGACTTGGACACAGCGCAACGGATACTTTTGAAAAACGTCAACACGCCTACGGAAACAGTGTTTTTTCAAGAGCCCAGGTTTTTCGGCGGTTTAAGGCTTTCTCAGAAGGAAGAGAGTCGATTGAAGACGAACCACGCAGCGAAAAGCCTTCATCTTCAAGAACCGATGAAAATGTCGATAGAATACATTATCTTGTGCGTTTAGATCGTCGAGGGAAGAGTTAAATTTGAATCCAAACATCAATAACAACTGGATGTTGCATCACGACAATGCGCTTTGTCCCACAGTCATTTCAGTAAACGAGTTTTTAGCCAGCTAAAAACATTCCTGTGGCTCCTCAGAAACCTTATCCGCCTGACTTGAGTCCTTGTGACTCTTTTTCTCTTCCCGAGATTGAAAAATCCCTCAAGGGATGTCATTTTGAGACCATAGAAAACAGTCAAACGGCTGTAACCGATCAGCTGAATGCTATTCCAGTATACCTGTATGAGTTGCAGCACTGCTATGACGAAGGGAAGGACCGTCTCCAGCGCTATGTGGCTTCCCAAGGAAGTAATTTTGAAGGCAACAATACTGAATTGTAATTCTATTCGAATAAAAAATTTAAAAAAATCAGTCTCATTACTTAATTTACACAACCCTGTTTCAAGTTATCCTGTACCAACAGAAAATATAGCAGCTCATTTGAACATAATTACTTCTATATGACCATCATGTTCATAATACCTAGTCACCATAATACTTACATTATAAATTCGGTTCTGTTAAGAAATCCATAAGTTTTCAGTTTTACTAATGATAAGGCCACAAACTTACACATGTTAGGTCAGGTCAACAACGGTGCGTTAATCCGCAAAACGTTTCAGCCACTCGTAACTTAAACGCGGTCCGCCCATATGTCCCTTCGTTGAAGGGAAGTGTTATTTATGATATCCTGGACTTAAGTTAAATGATACGTGGAGCGACTTTTCACCTTTTTTCGGTGATTTAGATCGTTCTAAAGTCGTTTCGGATATCCTCGTGGGTCGTAAAATGTGCGTACATTCGAGAAAGATAACTAAAAACAGAATCCGACGGGAGGGGTACAGAAAGACAGTCGTCTGCCGAACCGGAAATCGTAAGTCAAAGACTTAAACTTGCCAAATGTTTACCGCGGAGGACGATTGCGTGTTTACGCGCTCTTAAAAGTGCTGCTCGAAGAGGGAAATCTCGTGAAACGTTCTTAGGTGAAGTAAAGACGCATTTTTGCACGATTCGAATAGAAACGTCTGCTTGTTCGGAGACCTATTTTCGACTTGTATAGTCTTCGGGGTTGATGTTAAAAATTGTATCTCGTTTATCTTCTTATGCAAAACAAATATTCATATGAATTGAAAAAGGCAAGCAAAGGCATTTGTGAAATGACTGCTGTTATTTTGTAGTTTAAGGTTATTCATTTAGAAACGAATTTTATTGTAAGAGATCAAAATACCGCTACTTCTAAATTTATATTTTCAACTCTTAATTATCTGAATCTCTAAAAATATTTGGTTATAGTTTTAAGTTTCATATAGGCCTTTATAGCCTTTATGACCTTCATGAGCTTTGTAATATTTATGACTTAATCAACTCCTAACCAGTTCCAGGTTTTAAGTTGACATATTAAATTGTTATGACGAGTTATCGTATAAACAAAAAAGCTAACGAACCAACAGACAGACAGAGAGACAGATCTACAGATTAAGGAGCAGATTAGTTTTGGCTTAAACTTAAAATCTCGATGTTTCAAATAACGACAATAAAAAAGAATTAAAAAGTATTTAGCGATGCTGTATTTCCACGTTCATATAGTGGAATGGAAGTAATAGATATTCTTACAATAACGATGCATCTACCCAAGCTAGTGTTTCTTGTTTTTAGTTTAGTTTTTATATGGGTTTTCTTCTGGGATACCATAGGAAAGTGTAGAATTAGACTGTTTGTTTTAAAAAGGTTACAGACTTAAGTCCATTTGGTTACATTGACTGATAATGTGTTTTCATTCACTATTTTTAATTAAAATTCAATTCATTCAAACCTCATTACGTGTTGTAATTATTTCAGTAACGCATGCTTTACAGTCCTGAGAAAATTACCAAATCTAGGGCAAGTACGGTTAGATTGCTTGTGTTGTTGTTGATTTACATATTGGCGATACATGTGTAGAAGAGAATAAGTTAAAAGACACCAGTAAGGACAGACAAAGACAGTTAGATGCCACATTGTTTCACGCTTGTGCACGTATTAGAGAAAACGTATGAGACCTAATGGAAAGGGAAGTGAAAAGGGCTATTGCTTACACGCCCGTCGCCGAATTTGGAGTGGGATTCAGTACGTTTTCGCAGTTATGGAGGTGTACATCGACTTAGCTGTATGAAACGAAATTCTTACGTAATTCTGACTTTTACCATTATCACATACACTTAAAAGAAGTGTACGAACACAATTGTATTTATTTTCAAATATTTGTATTCCTTAACTAACCGGTACAAAAGAAAATAAAATTGAAGTTCTATAAAAAAATAAAAAAATAAAAATATAAATCAACCCGGTTATAAGACGAAAGAAAGAAAAAATGCCTATTGAATAAGTGAATATTCGGATGAATTCACTAATACTTTCTTGGCTTACGGAATGCGGATAGGACCTTCTATACGCAATGTCACGGCACACGGCACGACATCTCATCGTAATCCGTAATAATTCCGTATTCCGTATTCCCTTGGACCTCGTTCGTGTTCGTATTGTGGCGAAAGCACCAGTAGCGTGTTACTGGTTACAAATGTTACAGTATCATCGTACTATTGCGTACTATTACGTATTATGTTTACTTCGTCCGAGACTTCGTCGGATACGATATCCATGCTATCTTCCGGCATTTGACAGCGTCCGTAATAATTTCGATTCCGTATTGCGGTTGGCAACTACTCGGATTAATACGTGATAGTTTGATACTCGGATTGAACGGAATTTTAATACGTATTCTTACAACACTAGTTCTAACACCAGGGGAAATATTATTTAGGACTTCTACAATTCTGGACCGTAAATCATTTAAATTTCGTGGTCTTTCATGTTCATGTCCGTCGTAACAGTTTGTTTTATTTGTTAAATATTTGTTGGCATTTAACGAACCGTTTATAAAAAAATGGCCCAACGATGGAATCGCCTAAAATACCAACCCAAACATTTCACTTCTCTGGACACTGCGTACGCACAGGAATACTCAAGTGCTTATTTTTCCGTAGACCAATAACGATATAATAATTCAATTCACACATGCGCATTATAATTTATGGGCGGGGCGTCCCGCCTACATATTCTATTGCTACCTATCACGAAAGACAGAGAATAACGCTCATAAAAGTTATAAAATAACATGTCAGTCTGGCAACTATGGATATAATATTTCTCTGTCAGTTCCTCTATCTATCAGAGTTTATTTCTTATCTTTTAAAGCTCGGCTTTGAAATCTTGGACTTTCTAAACCTGCATATGCCAGTACTAGTGTATCAGTAGTTGCATATCAAGTACTGACAGAGAAAGCGAGACAATTAAAAATCCTCTTCCAC